TGTGGTTGTGTTTTGTTTTGTAGGTAGTGGGTACCCCGGGGATATGAGATGGGTGGTTGGTTGGCAGCGTTGGTGGGGGTTAAGGGACCGGACCAACCCTGAGAGGGGTCTGGCCCCTAGGGGACGTTTCAGCTAGAACTCTCGGACGGGATCTCGTAGTACGAGAGATGGGACTCATCTAGAGAAAGGTCTGTCCCCCAGGGGACGCTTCTAGTTCTAGGGATATTTAAGTTAATAAACTTACTTTTAATTTATAATTTATGATAACTAATACTGAGAATGGATCCTATCCCCCAGGGAACGCTTTTAATCGTAGTAAGTGAGCTGCGACCGACGGGGGGGTTCCCTCCTGTATGGTCATTTTAGGGAAATTTCTAGCCCTAACCTGACATCCCTGGGCCGTTTTTCCCCTACAGTATCTCGGGTTGCAGATGGCTGGGGAACTGGGCATCCAGTGCGTATCGTAAACGGGCTAGCTCGCTGCCGTGTGTGGCCTGCAGATCCCAGATGTAGTCCAGTTTGGCCTTCTGTTGCGGCGCACCGGTGACCTGGTTGCCCATCGAGTCGTCCACCGCCCGGTCTCCAATCTCCACCTCCACCTGCCGTACGACGATACCTTTGATTTTGCGCGCTAACGCGATGGTAAAGTGTCGATATGCGGACATACCGAGCTCGACCCCGGTGTGAGCGCTAAATAACCGCGCTAAACCCGCACTTAGTGTGGCCGTATCGTGAAGCCTAGAGCGAGCGTCTTTCCATAGATACGGTATGAGCGAGTCGTCCACCTGGGCGAGACCCATCTCCTCGCGAAGATGTTGTTTAAACGGAATCACCCACGCGATATACGCTACATTCCTCTGGCTCTCCTACGGCGAAAGCTACCGCGCCACCTTGCGACCTAATCCGCGGATAGCTCGACTCTTGTCGCGATCGGTGATGAGCACTACCTACCCATCGACTACCTTGACGTTCCCACTCACCTGCTGTACGTCGCAGTAGAGCATCTCTATAGCCTCGGGTCCTCGACCGGGCTGCCCGGCCTACAAATGATTGTTAACGGGTTGAATGGCTTGAAATCCCTTCACCCATCGTAAGTATATCTGCACTTTCGCACGATTCCACCCGGTCTCGGGAGACCACCACCTATGGGTGGTACGGGCACGCTCGGCTAGAAACTCCCACCCGGGCCGGAGCCATCGATTCCGCGCATCGGTGGCGAATGAGTGGTCGGGTCCTTGATAGACGAGCGAGTCTCGAATCCGTGGTAGATCAATCCGCTTCGCCGCCGTGGTCCACGGTTCGAAGAGTAGTCGATCCAGAAACCGAGTGGCTTTATCCATACCGGCCTGGAGAGCGTGCCCGACGTCTCTTAACGCGATCGGCTGACCGAGATATCGCAACCCTAACCCATCCTGGTCCCACGTCACCTTAGCTTGTCCACCGGTCTTCTCTCGATATCCCTTGCCGTACGCCATCCATCGCACGATGGTACTGAACGGCGTATGTGTCCCATCCACGAGCCACCGGCGATATTGGTCGAAGAAATGTTCCATGTCGGATGTGGTGAGCTCGGTGGGATCATCCGGCAGTGTCTCGAAGATATGCTCTAACATCGCTACGCGACCACACCACATCAAGCCAGCCAGCATACTGGTGAACACGGAAGCCTCCACCCAGCCACCCAGCTCCCGGATGCCCAATACGGCGGTAAAGTGTAAGAGCGGGTTGACATAGACCTGAAATGCTACATTCTGCTTCCACGACGCAATCTAAAACTTAAAGACCGCCCGATCCAGCACCTGGTATCGCCCCTGGTGATCCTCGTCGTCGTCGTCGGCGTTGACCGCTCTACGTGCTAATCGCACGCCGCGAGCCACTTCCGCGGCGGCGATGCTGACCTGGTCCAAGAGCCGCCGCTGATCGGGGGTCAACGTGATGCCGTGCTGGGCTTGGGCCTCCTCACGGGATAGTAAGCCTACGCGAAGACAGTAGACCAGATACCGCTTGACATACCCACGGTAGTCTAGCATGGACTTTTTCGAGCTCTTGACCTTGAATGGCATCAGTGGAGCTTTGCTGGGGTCAATCCCATTTAGCCAGCGTAATGTCTCGTGCGGTACCCGAGTAAGACGTTCACAGCACTTCACGATCATTCGTTCGACACTCTCAACCGCCGCCGTTAGTTGCTCCTGTCGCTCTCGAGTCTCGCCAGCGTGGTGTGACCGACGAGACCCACCACCGAGTCTTTTTTTGGTGGTCGGCAGTACACTGGCATTATGAATCAATAATGGGTTTTTACCCTCAAAGTGGGCGGCCTATCCCATCTCCTTGACCTATGTCGATATCTTAGTCAGATTCTCCGGGTTGTCCACTTCTTCAAGATGCTTCCGTCGTCGTTTATCGTCCCGTTGCTTCTGGCGCGTAACCATATCAGCCCACGTAAAACTGATAGAAGGCGGTGTAGTGGTGGTAAAGTCGCCCTCCTCTTCTTCCTCTTCCTCGTCGTGAACAGTCCAGTACTTGGCGAATCGACCATGAGAATATGTCTGCAGCTGAACCTGAGTCCAGCCAGCCTCGCTCTCCGGATGAGACTCCTCTCGATCGTGACGTTCTCGGCGCTTACGACTCCGCGTCAAGTAATCACAGCCATTATAGCTATACCCGGCGAATATGGGTAATTCGGGAATCGGGGCACTCTGTGCCGGCATACAGACCGTGGAGGGGTCTTGTATTGTCAAAGTGGCGACGTATGCTAGTACATCTTGAAGTTGATGGCCTGTCCACTGATGGACATTACGCCAGTGGACTTTAATCGCCTTCCCAGGGCGAATAGCTGCTTTACAGTGCAGATAGAGTAGTATACGGTGCTTGGTCAAGAATAATAGTCCTGGTGGACATGTTACGTGACCAGCCATCCTGAACAGCTGCTTGATAATAACTTCGTTATGGAAATGTTATATTCTATGAGTCTATGCCTTTGGACAGTACTACGCGTATGAGCTGCGAATATTCACACGGTCGCGTAGCCTCGCTTAGCCTCGCGCACCCCTGCCCCGACCCCTGCACCACCTCAAATTTCCACCGTCACTTTACGCCCTTACCTAGTAAGATGGCATAATGAATTCGAGGGGCCGACCTTGAATGACTGAGTAGACTCTATAGTAAAAGTTTTAGCTTCTAAGCTTACATGGTGGCTGAGAACTTTGCATGAAGGAACTTTGCATGAATAACCCTAAGTTTATTAGTGCACGTGACGGAACTCAGCTTGAGTTCCATAACTAATACTTCCTAGGGATACTTTAGGCTCGCTATTAACTTAGTAGATTCCTAGTCGTAGAATAAGAGTAGTAATAAGAAAGGAGAGATTAAGGAGGCGAGGAGGCGAGGTAAATACCTGACTACGCGCTAAGGCGAGATAGTAATACGAGTTAATAGTACCTATCTAGGCTAACGGGGTAGTAGGGTAGGATAGGCGAGTAACGACCTAGGCGAGGATACGAATACGCGAGGTCTAACCCCCTCGAGGGGATAGCCAGATAAAATTATCACTATCTCGATTATAGGCGAGCCTAGAACCAGTCTTAAACTCCTAACTACATCGTCTAGTTAGGACCTATACCCTCGTTATCTTTAGCTATAGAGTCCGGGGCGGGGGGTATCATACTATTCCTCGTTATAATGAGGGATACCTAGGTGTGGAGGGAATCCTATCTAGGAATGGCTAGAGTTAAAGTTTAAATCGACTAGCTAGTGTAGCGGACTAACCGGGCTAATTAAGACCGCGTTAAAAGATATAATTCTAGGCGTTTATAGGGCCCTACCTTTATATACGTTAGAATGTAGTACATGACTCTAAAATTATCCCTATCGCGGCCCTCTAGCGTATATAGTGACACTTTTATATAGATATAGAGGTACGTATTAGTACCGGCGGGATAAAAGTATCTATATATATACTAGGGGGCCGTAGACTATAAATCTATCTTCGGTATACGCTTTAGTAAGTATCGCGTATAGGATAGAGTACGCTATTATCGGTCCCTATACATTACTATAGACCTGGGGAGTACCTATAGACGTCTGGAGTGTATATCTACTGTATCTATTACCCGGTTATAATCATTATATTATATGGATTACTAGAAGAAGTCTCTAGTGGGCCAGCTTAAGCATTTTCTATCTACCTATATATAAGGAGCTCGACTACCTACCTCCGACCTCCACTAGAACTATCTCCTAAGGTACATGTCTAGCTTAAGTACCTCTCTATCTATATATCTATCTAGCCCGGGCATCTCCTAGCTGCGGATGTGTCTAGCTTAAGTCTTATCTCCTAGTTAGAAATCGATCTAATCTAGACATCTCTAACGTATCTATCTCTCCAGCTCGAGCATCTTTTATCTATTCGTATTTATGATCTTAGGCTTAAGGGCCAATCCTTATATATGAAGTATCATCCGAGTCCCTTAAGTGATCTATATAGCCGTATTAAAGTCTAATAGCTAGCCTCGATCTAGCCGCCCGTATACCCCTAATCCGTTACTAATATTTACCTCGTAAACGGTTAAAGAACCCTAAACTATTCCGCTTTATTATGTCAGGTATAGTTAAGACGTTAGTTATCTTATCGTCCTTATCGACATCGGTAGTCCCGCTTGAAGGTGCGTCCGACATAGGGACGTCCCCTTAGCCGGACGGGGGAGGCTCGTCGTTCTAGGAGACGGATGACCGATTTAATGGTATACTAAGGCGAGGGCGCTTAGACGGCCGGTTAGGGTTACTAGCCTTACTTTTAGAGGCGTCTAGGTCTTCATTACTAACCCTACGTTTAGAGGCGTCTAGATCTTCATTACTAAACCTACGTTTAGAGGCGTCTAGATCTTCATTACCGGACCCGTATTTAGAGGCGCCTAGAATTTCATTACCGAACTTATATTTAGAGGCGTCTAGATCTTTAGTACTAAACTCGGAGTTATTAGTCTCTAGCTCGACCGAGGTCTATACGACCTTAAAATCTAGAAACGGATTATCGCTATCTTCCGAGATTCGGTTAGACTAAGGGGATTTCGGGGTACCGGTCGAGTCTAGAGGCTATCGGGTCTAGTCCGTAGATAGAGTTAGGCTAAATCGAGGGGGAGGTCTAGTAACCCGGCTAATCCTATATCGGACATTATTAGACTAGATAAAGTTATTATTAGACGCGAGGTCGTCCTCGGGTAGAAGCTCTACGATCTAGGAACGAACCGAGTCGCTATCGACCGGGAGGATAGTAAACCGGTTATCGTAGTATTTATATAGATAGCGATTATTATAATAGTTAACTAAATGATAGTTACTATCGATAGAAAAGAAGCGGCTAGCGTAGATGGGTTTATCTCGCTAGTCCCTTAAGATACCGTCGTACATATTATAGATAAAAACGCCCCCGTTATGTAGGGCGGCATCTAGGTAGAGCTTAATCTAAGTACCCTAGTAACGTTAAATGTCGGATTTAGAGACCTATTTATATTTAAGGGCTGCCCGATTCTACTACATTACTATAGTAGCGTTAGAAAGGGGTAAGGTCTCGCGGGGTACGAATACTTACCTAAGTCTTCTACCGTAGATATATCCCGGGTATACGGGTTACGTTATACGAGCTACGTCTATACCGGCGTCTATCCCGGAGTGGATCTAGGGGTCGATAAGACTAGGAACGGTATTAGTATTAGGCTATCATTATCTAACTAAGTCTAGGGAGACGTTTATCTGATGGCGCCTAGGCCGGCTAGACTAAAGTCTCCCTAGACCTAGTAGGACGGGCTAGTTAACGTACCTACGGTTCTAGCGGCGGGGCCGCTAGGCGTACTACCCTAGAGAGTATCGTCCTAAGAAGTGTTACCTTAAGGCGTAGTAATGGGAATGTCCTTTTAAGGTATGCTTAGGTTCTCCTTACGCTATAAAACTCGGGAATAACTCTAGCCTAGGATAGCCTAGGTGTAGGCGTCCGCTAGCTCGATAATGGCACTATCCTAGCGGCGCTCGTAGTATAAGTCGTATTCCTCGTCGTTTAGGTAGTCGAAGCTAAATAGTTACTCCTTTTACTCTTCGGTAAGCTCGGTAGTGCTTATATCCGCCTCGCCGGCTAGCTAGGCTAGGAACTTTCGGGCCGCGTTAGCCTGGAGGTAGTTGTCGTACGAATGGTTAATAGTCAATACCTAGACCTTCTAGACGCGCCGCTATCCCAGTCGGTAGACGCGTCCCACTATCTACACCATCTATTATATATTTTCAGGGTACGACATGATGAGCATACGGGCGCAGTTTTACAGATTCAGCCCGTAGGCGGAGGCCCGTAGCGAATAGATAAGTACGCGGCTAGAGTAGTTATCGTTACTAAAGTTACGTAGGATCCGGTTACGGTCTTCGAGCTCTAGGTCGGGCTATAAGATAAGAAAGGGGACATTAACGGTATAAAGGAACTCGGCCGCGCTATACTATTCCTTAGGCTACTAGATAAACAGGATAAGCTTACTCCGGTCTTCCTCGCTACCGTATAGATAATCGTCTAAAATGCCGTAGTTATATTAGAGCTTAGGCGACTAACCGAGTTAGTACTCGGCCTATCCTAGACGATCTTAGTAGACCGGGAGAGTCGGGTCGGGTTAGGTCGCCTTAAAGTATTCACTAAACCTATAGTTAGTGCTCAGTCCTATAGATTAGTAGTCTTTACGCTAGGATTTCTACTAGCTTCCGGTACTAGTACTGCGGAGATAGAGGGCCGCTTCTACCTCTACCTATACCGCGTAGTGGATGTCGAAAGTAGCTAGAGAAATGACGCGGTAGATCCGTATATCGCGGAGGCCGGAGGTTACGGCGAGGCCCTTAAGGTTTCTACGGGTGGCGCCGCGGGAAGCGCCGCCGCGGTAGAGAAAGTCCTTCAGGCGGTTCTACATAACCCTATACTATTTAGCTTCCTAAGCACTAAAGTCCAGTTTAACGGTAGTGATCTTATATTCGGGGATAAACTTAGCCGGGACTAACGTACGGCCCCCCCTAATGTCAACCTCGCTCGCTATAGTAATTCTTAACTAGATGCGGTCTAGGAGGGGTCGGAGGACCTTAAGGGCGGTAATGCCTTCTATATAGCCTTTATTATATAAGCTGAAGAACGGGACGGGGTCTAAGACGTATAAGGGCGCCTTATACTTAGCGACGTAGTTAGGGTAGTATTTCTAGATGCGTTCCTAGAGTTCGGAGCTGTAGCGTTCCGTCAAATTTTCGCCTAGGTCGTCCTAGCCGTCTAGAGCTATAAGGTCCGAGGTGTAGCGGTCCATATAGAGTAGATTAAGGTATCCCGTTAGGTTAGCGGAGCGATTAATGGCCGGTATAGCCGACTAGACCTAGACGATGGGAGCGTACAGCAGCTAGACGGCGATGTAGTTACGAGACGAATAGTTCTTAACCTTATAGCCTTCGTCTAGAATAACGACGCGAAAACAGTACTTCAGGACCGATCCGTAGGTCGTACTCTTATCGGTACGCTCCTCTTCGAACTCCTCGTCATCGTTATCGGCCGCTCGAATAACCGAAGTATTAGTACGCCGAACTACTAAATCGTCTTCGCGTAGGTAGGCGTCGGCGGTCGGCGGTTTAGTAGTCGCTAGGCGGATTTTCTAGTCTTTATCTTCTACTATATAAACTAGTTAGTGGTTAGGGACCCTAGGGGGTTAGAGAAAGGGGGTAAGGAGGGTCAGGATAGAGATAGGGACACTTTTATCTAGATAGCTCTACGGGCGCGCCGTCCCGTAGGCTAAAAGTATCCCTATCTACCTAGGAAGCGGTAAAGGGGGGGCGACACTTACCGGAGGACGCCTTATCGCTCGGTAAAGTAATAAGGGTACGCGACTGGAAGGTTTCATATACGGATAAGATAACGTCCTACTAGTCTATCTTATCGATAACTACGCGGGCTTTTACTAAGTCGCTAGGGAGGAGAGCGGCCCGGGTCTCCGAGGATATAGTAGCTTTATCGGTCCCGTAGAAGATGTAGAAGCGGACGATGCCGGTAAATCGGGTCCGTAGTTCCTTTAACCATTTAATCTAGACCGGACCGGGCGTTAAGATAAGGGTCGGGCGCGTGTCGACCTCTTAGCCGGCGGCCTAGGCCCTCTCGATTTCTAACGCGCGGAAATAGATAGTAGCGATAGCCTTAATAGTCTTCCCTATACCGTAGTCGAGCGCGTTAAGGCCGCCGCCGAAGATTTTTTCGTAGATTAGTTAGGTAGCGATGCCGAGAATCTACTAGGGTAGTAGGACTACGCTCGATTCCACCCCGTTCCTCTTTATGCGATTCTTATAAGGGGGGTCTTTATCGATAAAGCGGAGATCTACTAGGTCGTTAAAGTCGGCCGTAAACCTAAGGTATTTATAAGCCTCCTCGTAGCTTAAGAGCGGGATGGACGCGTACGCTAGTCGACTTAGTAAGCGATCTAGTTCGGCCGATCGAACCGAGTAAGGCTTAGTCGGGTCGGCCTTCTTCTCGCCTTCTTCTTATACGCCGCGCTCGGCGTAGGATGTCGTAGTAGCCTATATAACCGGGTCTTCGCCGCCGTAAAACTTATCGTAGACGACCTTAATATGCCGCACCATCCAGTAGAAAAAGACGCGCTATTAGGCGGGCGTAAGTTAGGGTCGCGGGTCTACCGTAGTATTCTATATCTATAGTCAGCCGAGTTAAGCTTATAAGGGGTAGGAGAGGATAGGGATACTTTTATCTAGCCGGATAGTCGAATAGGCGACTAGATAAAAGTATCCCTATCCGCCCGAGGAGGAAGGGGGACGGTATACACTATAGAGTCTAAGATCCGGAAGGCGTTTATAAATAGGTCGATAGTATCCGCTCCCGCGGCGATATACTCTTTTATGTTTTTATCCTAGCGAAGTCTCTCGATAGCGTCTAATTCTAACGAGTCGAGAAACTCGTCCGAGGGACCGGGGTCGGCGTTAAATGCGGCTACGGCGGCGCTATCATCGACTAGGGGGTTAGAGTTATATACGGATTAGCCTTCTTCGAGACCTAGTTAGCGACGTTCATCCTAGTTAAGGTACGGTAGCGTTACGGTAGTACGAAAGGGAAAGGTCTTAGTACCTTTACCCGAGACGTAGTCGGCTCTAGTCCTTAATAATAATAGGGCGCGGTTAGTGTCTTCTATAGTCGTAAAGTTAGCTCATTTACGGATAGTATAGTTAGAGTCGTAACTATCCTTAAACAGCCAGGGCATTCTCTTGATCAGGTTACAGACCTATGTCAAATACATGACCGGGATCTAGTAGCGCGAACGCTACATACCCCGATACTTATCTAGATATAGGTTCTACTTATCGAGAGTTTAGGTCGGGCGGATCGTAGTGAGTTAGGTAATGTAACGTAGTACCGGGTCGTCCTTAACTAGCTTTAGGATACTAATGTCTTAGACATATAGAGCGCCCTTCTAAGACGGAATGCTAAAATTCTTCTTTCGGAGGTCGGTAAAATAGGTTAATGTGTTACGAGGTACTTCACACGTGAGGTGTCCTTAGTAAACCCAAGGTAGTTTACTTAGTGATATAGTAGTAGGCGATGTAGTAGAGACGAAACTAAGAGTATAGTGTACGGCACTATACGTAAAGTACTTTAACTAAGAGGGACTCGATTATTTATAAACGAGGTTAACTACGCTTCTTATAGAAGCGGATCTAGCTGGCTATATACTCTAGGTAGGTTTCCTATCTAGGTAGGTCTGGGTATTATAGTATTACAGCTGTTACGTCTCCTTAGCGTATAATAGTATTTCGTCTATAATAATATATTTCCGTTTTTAGTCATTACGTATCTTAGGTCAGCCTTACCATCGAGGCTGACCTATCCTCGCTTAACCTTCCCTATCTCTACGGCTCCGGGTGGCCGCATAGAGGTCGGTTCGTAACACTTCCCCCTCTTTAACCTGTTCGTTATCCGCAACGTACTTAAGGTAAGCTATCGCCCACATCGTGGTCTTCTCTCTTTCCCTCCTTCTCTTTATCATAGCTAACCATGTAGGTCTTCCGAGTTCATAAACCGAATCCGAAACCCCTAAAATCTTCTAAGCCTCCTATCCCGTAGCGACAGCGTTAAAACGAGATTGCCGATTATATCGAATCGATCGACGAAAATAAAGTAATAGTTACGTATTTAGAGTGTACCGCTCATAGCGATGTATATTTCTATTCTCGGGAGTAGAGTGTGAAATATACGGTATACTTACGGTACCGAAGAGAGTGTGACGGAACGTTTTCCGTTAAGTAGTTGCGAAAGATTAGGGAGTAGAAGAAGTAACTATCTTCTAAGTCCCGGCTTAAACACCGCGAAATCGCACGGCTCCGGAAAACCCTAGTGGAGGCTAGGCGGTCCCTAGCCGAACTAGAGGCCGATCTTATTAGTGTTAAAGAGGAGGATTCCGAGCTGTAGGAGTCGATTACGAAGTTAGATGATCTTTCCAGTAATATATTAAAAAGAGAAATGTAAGCGCTAAGTACTTTTAACAAGATTCCTTCCGGCGAGGAGGTAGCTCTAGCTGAGCCTGAGTTTATTTAGTAAGACGTCCCATAATCGGATTTAATAGACTAGAGTGCGGTATTGAACCTTAATAATACTAGGTTTACTAACGCCTAGGAGAATTTATGATCCGTTAGTAGTAACGTTCTTTTTCCGGGTTTTCTAGTGGTATTTTTTCTTTAATTTGAGAGGTAAGTCTCCGCTATCTTCCTAGGTATTCTCTTCACTTCCGTATCCTAACTATTTAACTAGATATATATCTTATCCTCCGGTAGATTAATCGGCGGGATAGAAGTCTACGAGTTCTTCTATCTTATATAGCGGTTCGCCGGTTTCTTAGTCGATATCTACGGGTCCTAGTTTAGCGTTTAGATTATTACATAGTTCTAATAGAGATTTATAGAAAGTAGGGTGTATCCCTAGCGTTTTTAGTAGGTCTAGTTTAAAAGTCACTAGTCCTAGTTTTTGTTTAATGCGATATAGTCCGATCTTAGTATAATCTAGTTTATCGCTTAGTCTTTTTATTTTGATGTTTTTTCGTCGTATATAGACCATCCCCCCTTCTTTAAGGTCTAGTCCCTTAGATCTTTTCTTATTTTCTCTTAATGTTATTTTTTCTGCGATTTTCCGTAATTCCTTTTTCATTATTTCGTATAGTTATTTCATTTTTTCTAGCTGTATTCTGGCTTCTTCTGATATCTTTTTCTTTTCGTCTAGTTTTCTAAATATATTAGGGTAGTATCCGTAATTTACGAAATATAGTGAGATCCCTATGATAGCTGTACTGTTATTAAAGGCCATCTATACCGTTAGTAGTAGCTGTACCTAATTATTCTGTTCGTAGTTGATATAGCATCGTAAGTATTATTCTAATGTCTAGTTTATTCTTTCCGTTTATCCATCCGTCTATAGGTAGTATACTGTTGAAAGTTTTAGCTTTATCCCTAGCTGGTCGTTTAGCGATTACTAGAACTATAATGTAAATAGTTTATCTCTATCTAAGATAACTTCTTCTAGTATTCCGTGTTCGGTAAAGACCGTTCGTATAAATATGTATGCGAGGTCTTTTACCGTAGCTTTCTCTATAAATGGTATCATATAGGCGTATTTCGTTAGTCTATCGACTACTACTATAATGCTGTCGTATTCCTTACCTATAAGAGGCTCTCGGGATATCGGTAACTTTATAATAAAGTCGACTGAGATTAAGCTCTATAGTCTATTTAGTATCTACGGCGTCATCAGGAGCCCGTATAGCTTATGTCTATCTTTCTTTACTTTCTTATAGGTATCGCATTAGCCTACGTATTCTTCGACATCTTTTCGAAGGCCTTTCTAATTGAAATCTCGCGTGATTAGTTTAATTATTTTTGCGATTCTAGGGTATCCTATAATTTAACTATTATATCTTTCTCTTAATACTTCTTATTTCTATTCTTCTATAAGCTCGATATCCATCACTACGAGCATCACATGTCCTCCGTACTGTAGTAAGTCTCCGTTACTCCTAAGTAGGGTATCTAGTTTCGGTTGTACTATTCTCATGTAGTCGGGTCTTCGGCTTAGAGCATCTACTCGGCCGTTTTCTATTCCTTTAACATGGTGTATCCTGAAATCGTATCGCGTAAGCGTCTCTACCCAGCGAACTTATCGTCTGTTAAGTTCCTTAGTCGTAGTTCAGTATGTAAGGTTCTTATGATCCGTATATATTTAAACTGGATATTTACCTCCTTCTAAGTAAACTCTCCACTGTCGTAACGCTTCGACGATTACTAATAACTCCTTATTATGGATGTCGTAGTTCGACTCTAGTTAGGTTATGCGTCTCGAGTAGTAGGCTATAGGTCGTAATCGGCCTTAGTCGTCCTTCTACGTGAGGCAGGCCCCTATAGCTTCATCGGATGCGTCTGTTTCTAGTATCGCTTCTTTTTCCGGGTTAAAGAGTGTAAGTATAGGAGTAGAGGTTATCCGTCCCTTTAGCTCGTTAAAGGCTGTCTCGCACTTCTCGTCCTATTAGAATTCTTGTTCTTTCCTTGTTAAATTGGTCAGAGGTATCGTAATTTTTGAAAATCCTTCGATGAACCTTCTATAGTAGTTAATAAGTTCTAGGAACATCTACACTTCCTTAACATTTCTTAGTATTAGCCATTCTTAGATGGCTCTTACCTTATCTAGGTTCGGCGTAAGTCCCTCTATTAACACGATATAGTCTAGGAATGCTATCGTATAGACGTAGAATTAGCATTTACTTAGCTTAATGGGCAAGTCCTTTTCCTTCAGTACTTATAGCACTTTCCGTACGTACTGTACGTGCTCTTCTTTCGTTTTAGAGAAGATAAGAATGTCGTTAAGGTACGTAACGACAAACTCGTCCAGGTATTCTCTCAACGTGTCATTAATAAGTGCCTGGAATGTAGTAGGGGCGTTAGTCAGTCTAAAGGGCATTACTTAGTATTTAAATAACCCCTATCTAGTTCTAAACGCTGTTTTCCATTCTTCCCCTTCCTTCATTCGTATGCGGTAATAGGCGTCTCTAATATCGATTACCGTAAACTACTTTACTCCTAGTAATCGATCCTATAGTTCGTCGATCCTAGGTATTAGGTAGCGGTTCTTTTTAGTGATTACGTTAAGTTTCCTATAATCTATGTAAGGTCGTAATCCTCCGTCCTTTTTATTCGCGAAGATGACTCCGTATGATATTGGCGATTCTAACGGCCGTATGAACTTCTTTACTAGATGCTTTTCGATATAGTCTTTAAGGAAGTCTTCTTCTTTTTTAGACATTAGAATCAGTCCTCCATAGTGCGTTAGTGTCTTTCCTTCTTCGAATGGGATTTCGTAGTCCTATAGTTGATGTTTTAGTAAGGCTGCCTCGCCTTATCTTTCTTTCGTGAGGATCTCGAAGTCTTTATATTCCGCTAGGAGTTCTTCTATAATAGTACTAGCTAGTGTTCTCTCTATCGGTCGCACTAGAACAGTCCTTTCTAGGGCCTTTAAGGATGATCGGTCCCCCCTTCTAGCGGTACTACTTTCCGCGAATGTAATCGTCTTCGTCCTCCAGTTAATTATTAAGTTATTCTTTTAAAGCCAGTCTATTCCTAAAATCACGTTATACCTTAGAATCGATGTGATGTCTAAAGTGATTCTCTCTTAATGTTACTCAATCGTTAATGGGATTTCTTTCAATTCTGTTATAATCCATTATAATAGCCGTCCATCTGCCATTCTTAATGGGTATGGAAGCAGTTTCCTTACTTTATAGTTTCTTACTCTTTCCGCTATACCCGTACTCGCGTAGCTTTAATTAGCTCCTGAATCGATCATGATCTATACCTAGATTCCCGTAAGAGTTACCGTAAGGGCTGCGTAGTCGTTTCCTAGTGTAGTTATCTCTCTTAATTCTAGAGGCTTTCCAATCTTTTAATTATTATTATAACTTCCTCGCCTCTTTAGGTCGTCACTTATAAGTTTTTTAGCTAATGTACATATCTCTCGTAAATCTATTAATATATCTCTTATCGGTATTCTTCTATAGCATTAAAAACATCTACCTTTACTATCGGGATAATGTTAAAGTCTAGGTCTACGTTATAGACGTACTAGTATTCTTCTTTTATCGAGTAATTATCCGGATCCGGGCATGTAAATTCTTTTACGATGAAGTCTTCGTTAATTCGGTTATCTATAATGTCTTTAACGATATACTACTAGTTCGGGTGACCGTTTCCTTCGTCGCTATTAATAAACATTATGTAGATCTCTTTCTATTAGTAATGTAAGTATATCTCGTTTCTCTAAGGGCATTCTTACTCTTCATAGATTACTTTCCCTTCGTGTAGTAGTGTAGCGTACACTTCCCTTAGTATTAGCGTGCCTAGGTATCTCGGGTCTACATTATAGTAGTATAGGTGTAGGTTTTCTTTTTCTTTATACTCCTCATCGTAATAATGGAGTCTTCTATAATAGTGATCTAGGTCTTCCCTTTCATTAATGACCCTAATTCTACGTAGAGGTCCGGCTTTCGTCGGGACTGGTTCCTCGATTACTCCCCTTTCTCTCTATAATGCTTCTTATTATACCCGAGCTTTAGCGATTTTCTTCATCCTCCCTTCCGTAAGTCGGATCCTGATAGTGTCTGGTTAAGTTAGTTAATGTACGTGAGTATCTTCTTTTTCTAGACATTCTCGATCCTAACACCACGTCAGGTTAATCTTTCTGATCGTTATTTAAGGTAATCCGAAGGGGCTGTATATAACGTAGTCATGTTTCCCGTTATATATACATCCTCCTTCGCATTCTCCTATTATCTAATAGTTTATAGTAATGATAACTTCTACGTCGTCGGCATCCATCGTAATATATTGTCGGTGATAGACGTCGTCGTATATAGTTAGTCTCTCCTCGGGTCCCTTAATATTGAACCTCCCGTCTCGATAGTCATTACATAAACTGTAACTCGATCGGCACCCTATCGTAGAATCTTCAGCCTCGGCCTAATTCCCTATTCTTATACTCGCGGCTCTAATATGCGCGATTATCTTACATTCCTTATAATCTTAATGAACATATACTAAGGAGGCGTATCTCTCCCTCGGCTTCTCCTTAATCTCCGATGTCATCATATTAAGGCTTTATTATGATGGTAGTATAATCGGTACCGTAAATGCTTCATCCCCTTTACCCGCGTACGTATGCATCCCTAGAACGGTGCATCCCGCGGTTTAGTAAATTTCATACTTAACCGTCGTTGGTCCTCTTGCCGGTTACTCGAGGTCCATAACTGGGTATTTATGTGCGATTTCCGTTCCATAGTTATCTTCGTACCAGTAGTTGAGTAATTTCTAGTATAGGGTGATAAGTACTACCTATTTCTCGTCATGTTTAATCACGATAAACATAGTTTATTCGTTTAGTCCTGGTGCACGCATCATCTAGAACTCGTTATTATTCATTTCGGTCTCTCTTACGATGGTAAAGGCTTCCTAACGCTTTAGTTCCATCCTTCTACCCTATTACCTTCTCCGTGGCTTCTTTAGGAATCATCCACTACCTTCCTTATCGGAGTAGTAGGTGGGATAGTTATCTTTATAATAGACCGTCTAAGACAGTACCGAGTGTTATTCTTTCTTTTCTCATTCTTCTAAGGTAGCTTCTTCCTTAGGTTTAGTTCCTGATCTACCTATCTCCCCTTGAGATACCATACCTAGGTAGTCCTTCTATGCTCTTTTACCCTGGTCGTAGGCTACTATTTAGGTCTTCTATGAAGTATCGGCCTTTATTTCTTTATAACCGGCTATACCGTCGTCCATCATATGCAGCGTTAGACCGTTCTTACAGTTTCTCGTACGGTGTCCGGATTTTCCGCATTTATAGCATAGGTCGTTCTTCTTACGTTTCTCTCGTTCCGACTTAGATAGCCCTTAGTTTCCCTTCTTTCTAGTGTTAGCCTTTCATGAAGTTGAACTTCCTCGTTAGGCTATGTCTAGGTCCATCGGGTCCCTACGTTATTAGCGGCTTCTATAAGTTATTCCCCCTCTGTACGTACCTCTTCTTTCCATCTATCTCTTATAGAGCTAGTTATCGATCTCGATGGAAGCCTCAACGAGTAGTTTATATTCGTTAGGACGGTCGACTCCCATCCTATCTTTAACCGAATCCTTCAGTCCTTAGTAGTAGACTAAGGCGAAAGCTTTATCTTCCTAATCTAGCTTTAAGGCGTATCGTTAGAATATAGCGAAGTATTTGACAGCTGATCCTGTCTATTTAAGTTGATAGATACGTTGTACCGCTGATTATTCTTCTCCTAGTGTTCTAAAGATCTATTTAATACGTTCCTCATACACAGCGAAGTTTCCGAAAATCAAGTTAGTTTCCTTATTACGCTGTCCTAGGGCTATACCTAAGTAGTCGTTCATTAGAGGCTTAAACCATTCGAAGGCAGATCTACGAAGTTAAAGTCCTGCGAACAGTACTTTTTCCGCGGCGGTACTGTACTTAGTGCGCTGTAAGGTAAACATAGCTTTAAGTTAAATCAAGTACATGCCGAGCTTATTTCGTTCTCCATAGAAGTGTTCGACTTTAAGGTCGTCTTTCATCTTTACTGCTTCTATAGTGCTGACTGATGCTGTATTAATGCTAGTAGTTAACGGGTTAGGCTGTTAGGTAAGCCTTAGTTTAGGTGACTTAGGGTTGGAACTACTAGACATCGTTATCGATACCACTAACTATCTAAGAAGGTAGTTAAAATGTTACGAGGTGCTTCACACGTAAGGTATCCTTAGTAAACTCGAGGTGGTTTACTTAGTGATATAGTAGTGGGCGATGTAGTAGAGACGAAACTAAGAGTATAGTGTGCGGCACTATACGTAAAGTACTTTAACCGAGAGGGACTCGATTATTTGTGAACGAGGTTGACTACGCTTCTTATAGAAGCGGATCTAGCTGGCTATATACTCTAGGTAGGTTTCCTATCTAGGTAGGTCTGGGCATTATAGTGTTGTAGCTGTTACGTCTCCTTAGCGTATAATAGTGTTTCGTCTGTAATAATATATTTCCGTTTTTAGTCATCACGTGTCTTAGGTTAGCCTTACCATCGAGGCTGACCTATCCTCGCTTGACCTTCCCTGTCTCTACGGCTCCGGGTGGCCGCATGGAGGTCGGTTCGTAACACCAGCGTTAAGACTAACGATAGGACTAACGTTACCTCCTAATTAGCTGAATTTACCTATATATTATATAGGTAAAAAGCAGCCTCCTGATTAGACGAGGCGCGTACCGTATAAGGGATACCGAATCCTAGTAAACTAAGACACCGTACGTAAGGGAAGGTAAGGAAGAGAGATAAAAGGTAAGGGAAACGTAAGGCGTATACGAAAGAGGAAGGATAAGGGAGAAAGGGGAAGACATTAAGTATCCCTTACGGAGGAGCGTACGATATAAGGAAAGAAGGAGAGGATATTATTCCTCCTTCTCTCTCCTTAGATTTATCCTCCTTATTACTAGGTTAGCTAGCTAGTTATAGAACTCTTTCTAAACCCTCACACGGACTATCGTCTCGTAGTCCGAGAGATAGTACTCTACTTAAGAGAGGTCTATCCCCTAGGGGACGCTTTAACTAGAACTCTTAGACGGTATCTTATAGTCCGAGAGATTAGACTCTACCTAAGAGAGGTCTATCCCCTAGGGGACGCTTTAGCTAAATCTCCCGGACTATTATCTCGTAGTCCGAGAGATAGTACTCTACTTAAGAGAGGTCTATCCCTTAGGGGACGCTTTAGCTAAATCTCCCGGACGGTATCTCGTGGTACGAGAGATTAGACTCGACCTAAGAGAGGTCTGTCCCCTAGGGGACGCTCTTAGTCGTAGTAAGTGAGCTACGACCGACGGGGGGTTCTCTCCTATATAGTCATTTCCGGGAAATTTCTGGCCCTAACCTGACATCCCTAGGCCGTTTTTTCCCTACAGTATGGCGAGATAGAATTTGACAGTTATTGAACATCACTAACACTCCTTTTTCAAACATACTTGTGCCAATTTGAGAGCCATAGTGGATTCAAGATCTCTGTCAGCCTTTACAGGAGTGTCAGGCATTGATCTCTCAACCTTTCAAAAGACTGCATGATTTCAAGATTCGGCGTCCACTTTTCTTCCTACTTCGCCGACTTTTTAACATGAGCTCTTTACAGTGTTTCTTGCCGGCATGGCATATGCTCGAACGGCACTTGGACGTCTGCTCCCGTGCGTCCACACCTCCTCGGCGACCTGTGCTTGAATCTGGAGCTCGTCATTACAGAGCTTATCCCCGAAGACAGCCGCGATCTGTTCCAAGCTCTTGCCCGCCGTTTCCGGAACGAAGAAGAAGGAAAATACCGAGGCGGCAAAGCAGAAGCAGCCAAAGAAGAGGTAGGTGCCCCAACCGAGCTTCAGTTGCATCTCAGGGACGATGACGCCGATGACAAAATTTGCGAGCCACACCATTGCTGTGGCAGCGCCAACACCCTTGGCGCGCTTAGAATTCGGGAACACCTCTGCGGGAAGAGTCCATGCCAATGGGCCATAGGAGCAAGCATATGCAAGGACGTAGATGTCTTAGATAGTTAGTGAGCGGCATGGTACGTCTGGAGAAGTAAGACTTACAGATGAGAGCCACGCCGAACCAGCCGACTCCGGGATGATCCACCCACTTATTGTTGTACTTGCTCACAATGCCGGCCATGATCATATGCGGAATACCCATAGCGACACCTCCGAAGATGGCAAGCTTGCGGCGGCCCATCTTGTCAAGGAACAGAAAGGTCGGGATTCCAGCAACGAACTGGCAGATGTTGACCATACCGCTGAGAATGAGAGACATTTCGTAGTCTTGACCGAGAGCGGAGAAGAAAATTGGTGCATAGTACACAAACGCGTTGATGCCTATATCGAGATTAGTAGGGTCGTGGAGGTATAGAGTAACACTGACCAGAGAACTGCTGGAAGAATGGAATAGCAAGCGCAACTGCAGTACGGCGAATGTACTTGGGTTTGAAGAGATCTGCCCATTGCTTGAGCTCAAGGATGACGGGATTTGCGTTTGCACCATGTTCAAGGACCAGCATGCGCTCCTGAAATTCGACCTCGCTGAGAATACCCTTCCATTCCATCTGAACACGGCCATCTGTTCCTGGAAGGCGTCGAAGTTTCTCGAGCGACTTCAGGCTGTCCTCATCGCGGTGGCGCATGGCCAGCCATCTTGGAGAGAATGGGAAGAATTGGATACCAATGCCGACCATCAGGGCAGGAGCCATCTGCAGTAGGAAGGACAGCCTGAAAGCCCATTCACCTGTAATTTCGCGGGTGCCATATGTGATCCAGTAAGCAATGATGGCCCCAATGACAATGGAGATGGCTTCAAGAACGAGCAGGGAGCCCCTCAGATTGGGAGGTGCGATCTCGGAGATATACAATGGTGCCCCCATGGCGAGGGTTCCCACGCCCACGCCACCGATGGTCCGCCCAGCGACGAGAGTCCCATAGTTGTGTGAGGCGGTCTGAATGATCGCACCAACACAGAAGAATGCTGTAGCAACGGCAAGAGCCCATTTTCTTGAGTAACGGTCGGCAAGCATGGGGAAGAATAGACAGCCAATAAAGGCGCCAAACTCCAGCATACCAGTCATGAAGCCCGTGTTGAAGCCATAGTGAGCGTGGCCCGGAGCCACCTGGGGGAAGTGGTCGTGAAATTGTGGCATCGTCAGGATGAGGGAGATGACACCCTGGTCGTACCCGAAGGAGAAGCCACCAAAGGAGGCCAAGAGGGCGGCACCAAACACATAGGGCGACCGCACAATACCGCTGATGCCCTTGTTGTCATAGCTGATCTCGGTGGTTGTCTGGCCATGGTGGAAGTTCATCTCGTGGTGCTCGGCACTGGCGTCTCGCTTGGGGGTGGCGACGGTGTCGGTTCTCGTGGAAGTCCTTTTCTCGATGTCCGCCATGATAAAGTTGTTGATGTTGGGGTGCAGAACAATAGAATCCACCAGGCGAGTGTTCTGGGTATGGGGTCCTGGAGCTGTTGATGTCTGGTTCGCCGGAGATGGGTGAAAAGTGGAGTGCAAGGTGTGATGGTTGACGGGGGAGACGACACTTATGTATGAAGCACTGGCCTCCTGTTTTTGACCTCAGTGCCGACGTCTTGGAGTGATGCTCTCGTGCTCTCTCCGCCCCATGGGGATGATGAAGCGGACTTGAGCCGGCCGGGGTAGCTGTCACCCTCCGTGTGGATTGACTAAATTCTTACGAGCTCTGGGTCGGACATAATGAACAAGCGCCACATCGGATTTATGTAGGAACCTTGGTACGTTTAGCCCAACTGCCGGCTTGGCCAGCAAGACTTTCGTGCCCATGATACGGGTATAGGGTGCAGGGCGCAGGTATTCGCGGCAATGCCTGTGTCGGAACGGGGAAGAAAGGACCGTTGGCCTCCACGTAGATGAGCGTGCAGCCTTGAACCATCGTTTGCTGTAGCGCAAATATTGTCACATTGTCTGTAGAGATTGCTCCTGATTTCTATAGCCAGATGGCATGCTTGATTCCACTTTCTAAGCCCTCATCCAATCTGGTCACCAAAGTCCACATATCGCCTCTCTTTCCACTGATGCCGTAGATCTCAATCCCACCGCCTTCCTGTCCACATACCACGACGTGCTGGCCGTCGTCGCTGAGTCGCATGCCGCGGATGACATCAACATTGGTGCGCACAAATTTCATGTCTTCCACCTTTTTGCCATCATTCGAGAGAAGTAGGATGGCAATAGCATCTCCTGCCGGAAGCTCCTTGGGGGCGTTCTTGAGATGAGGTTCACGCCGTGCAATGTGCCTTTCCCACCTGTTGCTGACATACAACACATTCGGGATGTGGGGGTGAAGACAAAGCTCGCTGGAGTCCATCATGAACTGATGCTCGGGGTGAACACTTGGTGGAATGATGTTGGCTGCAAAGCCACCGATGGGCTGGATGTCCTCTGCAGGGGAATTTGGCAAGTCAAAGGCGAGAACCGTGTGTGAGAGCTCCCCAATGACGTACATTATGGTCTCTGTAGGCTCCATGAGTTCGAGTCTTGTAGGAAGAAGTTGGGTAGAAAGACTTATATACCATCGGGGCTGAATACGGCGTGTCGAGCGCCTGTCCCACCAGGACATTGAAGCCAGCCACATACTTCCAAATTCATCCTGTCACGCTGAAAGATCCACACGCGGTCAGATCCCAAGTCTGGGGCGTACAGAAGACCACGTTTGTCTTCGAGTATCTGGTGTACGTGGCATTGTCGCTGTCGACCTTCGTTCGGGCCGTGCCCAACCGACTTGTAAGCGAATGGGGGGAAAATCTCCGTTCGAGAAGCATCTGTGAGCAGAAGTCCCTCCCTGTCGGTAATGGAGAGGGGGTAGAGGGCAACAGAGCCTCCCAGATACTATTTCATTCTTAGCAGGGAAATTCAAATCTTCCACTTTCACTACTACTCACGGTGCCCAGAGCCAATGCAGACTTGTCCTGTAGCGTGATGACTGTCCAAGAAGCATTAGAAACAAATCCGAAGGGTATAGCATGGCACACCCACTCACAGTGAGCAGGTGCTCCCAGTGTTGGCTGCTGGCTGGTGATCTTGCAAGTCTTCTGCGTTTGGTCGATTTCAAAGGTGTATAAGAGACCGGTTTCTAAGCCCTCGGACAGTCCAACCAGACGATCAAGGTCCCCTTGCGAAGATGAGGGCTCAACCCAGGAGACATTGTAGGGACCTGGATAATTGGCAGCAACGCTCAACTCCTTTCTGTCAAGGTCAAGAGTAAGGGTGGTGAAGTTGGCCCGATCACCAGAGAGCAGAAGGATCGGTCTCATGGCAAGGAACACGGGCGGGAGGGAAGTATTCGGTGTGTGACTTGCGAGAAATATCGCGGCACGTGTATTCTAATCTCTTCAAAATGATCTGGTGACCAGCAGGAACTTAGAACAGCTTGAGCGGTCGAATGCCGGAGGCATAATTAAAACAAACAGGTTGAGTGTATACCTCTCTCCCTGTTCAAAGAGCCTTGCGCCCGATAGCCTCGTCTTGAGATGAATTCATTGCTGCTCAAAGATATGGGTCCCCCAGACTCCACTGAAAACGTGGCGAAAGAGAAAAACCCGATGGGCACTTCGGCCGATCACGATGCAATCGAGAACTCCGACGACATATGCCCCCCCATTGAACGCGCTGTACTTTGCCCCTTCTGGTCCCCAAACACGTACCGCCTGGGGGGTCGATCGAAAATTGGATTCCCAGCATCTTTAATTTTCATCTTCCTGCTCTCGATTGCAGATAATCAGAAAACCCGGTATTTCTCAAGCACAATGGACCCGCCGACTCATTTCACGCTCAACACGGGCGCGAAGATTCCCGCCGTTGGTCTCGGTATGTGTTGATGTGCTTGTCGCTGCCGCTTTTGTTGACACGGCGCACAGGAACCTGGCAATCTAAATCTGGGGAAGTTCGCAAAGCTGTGGCCTTCGCCCTCAAGGATGGATATCGTCATATCGATGCTGCACTGTGAGTCCAAGACGCCGGCCTGCCAAAATTGTAATTTCGCTGACAAAATGCAGAATCTATGGTGTGTTGATGCCCACACTCCTGTCTACTAACAATCATCCTAACGACAATCCCAGGCAACGAAAACGAAGTCGGTCAGGGTATAAAGGATAGCGGCGTGCCTCGCGAAGAAATCTTTCTGACCAGCAAGCTCTGGAACACCCACCAACCCAATGTCAAAGAAGGTCTGCAGAAGAGCCTTGACGCTCTGGGTGTGGACTACCTTGATCTCTACGTAAGGCGCTACTGTGTGCAATACTTTGGCAAAGCAATGCCTAACAGTGTGCGCGGCAGTTGATTCACTGGCCTGTTCGACTAGTTCCGGTGAGCACAATGCCATCTTACAAATTCGCCCGAAGTCCATGAGAAGCTGATTCGCGTCCACAGAATGAGTCGAGTGAGCTTCTTCCCGTGAACCCTGACGGCAGCCGGTCGGTCGATCGATCATGGGACCAGAGCGAGACCTGGCGCCAGATGGAAGAGGTCTACGAATCCGGCAAGGTCAAGGCCATCGGCGTGGCCAATTGGTCGATTCCCTATCTAGAGGAGCTTCGCAAGAAGTGGACGGTGGTGCCGGCGGTAAACCAGATCGAGCTGCACCCTTTCCTTCCACAGCACGAACTCAAACAGTACTGTGAAAAGCTCGGAATTCTGCTCGAAGCATATTCGCCTCTCGGTTCCACCGGTAAGTCACTCAAGTCTCGTGACGTACTTTGGCTTCGACGACGCTGTGGAGTTTATGAAATTAATACTTCGCAGGTGCCCCTATTATGTCGGATTCCGAAATCCAGCAGATTGCCGACAGGAATGGTGTCTCGGCCGCCACGATACTCATCAGCTACCACGTCAACAAGGGAGTCGTGGTTCTTCCCAAGTCCGTGACCGAAAAGCGTATCTCCAGCAATAAAGAGGTTATTTCACTTTCCAAGGAGGATCTAGCGGTGCTCGACGGTCTGGCTGCCAATGGCAAGGCGAAACGTTCGAACACGCCTCTGTGGGGCTTCGATCTCGGCTTCGCTGACTGGTATGGCCCGCTCAAGTCGTAGGTAGTCTTAGATATACAAAAGTTATTACGGTCATTGACGTGTCCATCTATCATAGCCTGGATATATTTCATGATGATAATAGAAAAGCTCTATGTTCTATGTTCCTTCCACGAGAACGCCCACGGGATGCCGCACGAGAGAGAGGTTCAACCATTTTGTGTCATGTCTTGACACTGAACCAGAGCGATAGTGATCTTCCGGCCGATCCAAGTCAAGACAGTCTAACCACGGTCACAGAACGAAAGTGATGCATGACGAATTTTTTGCATCTGACATCTCATGAGCGTTTCTTTTGCATTCGAGGTAGAATAGATGATTTGATCTTGGAGAATGAGTCTGTCATATTTCCTGGCAACCAAGGGTGAAATTAGACCGGCGCTGCAATGTCTAAACTAAATCTAGAGAATTCCGTCGTTACCACAATTAAACAAAGAGATTCTATCATGCCTATGTCTTGTAAGGAGCAGACGATAAGCCTTCCTTCAAAGCCTTCAGTCGCATAGCAAGCAACTTGGAGTGGAAGCGGGTGTAAGGAAGGTAGCCGACCATGATCCAAAGGTTGGGCACCCCGCTCTCCCGATAGGCGGTCTTGAACTCGCCCTCCTCGTCGATGCCCCAAATAGGACCACATTGATCAGCGATCTTGTCGCCAAGAATGGATCGGACAGAGTCAATGGCGTTGGAGAAGCCGGTGGCAAAGACAATAAGGTCAAACTCGCGCTCCCGGCCGCCGCTGAGAATGACTTTGTCCTCGGTGAAGCTCTCGATGTACCCGGACTCCACCTTGATCTTGCCGTTGATGATGTGCTCGCAAGCACCGGCATCGAAGTAGAAGCCACCATTGCGAGTCTGGCCCAGAGTAGAACCGCCGGTACCACGCTGGCCACGCCAAGTTCGCAGACCGCGTGCATTAAGGCCTTCAAGCAGGGGTCGGTCGAGATCTTCGAGGACCTTGGCGTTACGTCTGCTGAGCTCCTCGCCGGGTCCGATCGGGGTGGCAAAGAAGAGCCGGTCTTGCTCTTCGATATCAGGGCGATTGAGGTCAGCATCGGGGCCGTAGCTGCCAATGATGCGGGGAACGGAGTGTGTGAGGGACATGATGTAGGTAGGCGATCGCTGGAGGAGGGTGACATCGATGCCGCGGCGCGAGCAGTCGAAAGCAGTGTCGAAGCCAGAAGACGAGGTGCCAACCACGCAGACCTTCTTGCCAACAAAGTCGCGAGAGCTGTCGTGCGCACTGGAGTGTCGGATCACACCGCCCTTGAAACCGTCCATTCCAGGAACAGCGGGGAGCATAGGGACGCCGCACAGGGAGGTGGCCATGACGACTTGCTTGGGGTGCAGTGTCCGGGTCTCCTTACCCTCTTTGTTGATGACGACCGTCCAGTTGCCCTGGTCGTCCTGCTCGGCTTTGACAACCGTCGATTTGGTCCAGACATTGAGCTCCAGAGCCGAGGCGTACCACTCCATATAGATGCCCTGCTTCTGGGCGGGGGTGTACGTGGGCCAGTGCTTGGGGTAGGGGCAGTAGGGCAGGTCGTCGGCCCAGTGGGGGAAGTGAAGCGAGAGATACTCGTATCGCTTCTTCCAAACGTCGCCAATCTCCTCGCTACGCTCGATTATGAGGTTGTTCATGCCCAGCGCCTTGCATCGGGCAGCCAGTGCGAGACCGCTAATGAATGTTCAGCATGTGCGAATGAGGCTAGGGCATTGATGAAAGACTCACTTTTGGCCTCCTCCAATAATTAAAATTTCAGGGTCGGCAGCGTCGACGTCGGCGGCCCTCTGCTTTTCCCAGCTGATGGGACCAGTCATGTGCCCGTCGGCCGCTGGAACCTCGGGGTACTGTTTTAACTTCTCGGTGACGGTGTGCATGGTGTAGATTCTCCAGCCATCCTTGGTAAGAACCGAGTTAATCACAGCCGAAACCACAGCGGCCTCGGTCTCAAAAGATACAATGAATTGTAGCTGGGCATAGTCGGGGTAGGGCCGTGAAACATTGGGGCTTGGTTTGAGAAACTTGAAGTTTGTGGCCTTGGTGTTAGGGAAAAGGTCGGTAGCAGCCTTCAGGATGGCTGGTTGAAAGTTGAAGGTGCGATAGTCCCAGGTAAAAGCGAGTTTATCACGCCAGACACCTGGTGATCGAGTCAGTCATCCGTCAACGATCTGGCTCAGGAAGAAATCCCACCATATTCAAGGAACATATCTGCGAAACCCTGTGCATCGCCTCTGCCCAGAACGCTGGAGAGGCAAGACACAATCGCCTCCGCCTCCTTCTGAGCATCGCAGTCGCTGGGAATTTCGACACCGAGGACGTCGGAAGTGGGAAGAACGTGATTGTACTTGAAGTCGTACATGTAGTTGTCGGCGACGGGAGGCTTCACAGTCGGCTCCAGCTCGACCTGGCTGACGCCGACTTTGGCCTTGAGATCGCCAACATCGACAACGTTGTCGATGGCAGACTCGTGCACGCTGAGATAGGGGGCCATAGGTGCAAAATTTGCTGATGACAAGATGCTGAGACATCTCTCCTCGTCAACTCCAACAGCATCGCTGCGTATATATTCATGGCTGTGGTACGCCTTGGTGCGCCCCTGCACGCGTTGTTACGTCCGACGACTCTGAGATGTTGACCCCAGCAAAATCTGATGGATCGGGGATAAAACTTGGAGCCGAGGCTGATCTCAGCACGTGATCGGGCGAATGCCCCCACGGATCGCCAGACAAAGTCCGATGTGGGTCACATCACGTGTGAAGTATCAAGGCTGAGGTCGTCATGCAACTTGGCTCATGGACAAATTCTCAAATACGGGGCTGATGCTGGTCTTTGCGTGTCTGCTCCATACGTTTGCTCCTCCCTTCTCGTATATCCGTTGCGTTCGTCATACGACCCTAGCGGACGGCGAAGACCGATAAGCTCCAGTACCGCGATTCTGTCGGATAAGCTCATGCAGCGTCTACGCAACGATGATGAGGCGGATGAGAGTCCAAGACCTCACAAGCAGCAGCGAAAACAGCGGCCGTGCTACAGCTGTGCAGGTTGGTTGATCCTCGCGACAGGTAGGCTGGGTTTAGCAAAGCTGATGTTCGATGACCAGAATGTCGCCGGCTCAAGATGAAATGCGATCGGCAAGGTAAGGACCATATCGCAAAGCAAATAGTCGATAAGCTGGAACGATGTTGCAGTGCCGTGCTCAAACTGTGTCCGACGACAGCGCATTGAATTCTGTGCAGCAGCTCCGACCAGCAAAACGCTCTCCCGGTTTGTGTGCGTCCCTAGGAGGCAAATTGTAGCTAAGTTTGATGCGACAGTCGAACTTCTCGGGACCAATCCGGCCAACGGCAGGATGCTGGGCAAACTGAGCAAGAGATGCCGCAGTCCTCGATCGAATCTGGTGAGAACATCTTGCCTACTTACCTTGCCGTCGATCATCATGATATGGAAGAGGGACTGCACGAACAGCAGCCATATCACCTTGATCCCTCAGAGCGTCAACTTCAAGGCGAAGCAGCGAGCGCAGCGCCACAGTCCACGGGTGGCATTCAGCATAACACTATGCATGGCAACCACAGCAACCACAATGGGCTCGACCAACTGACCCTTCTGGCCCAAGCGTTCGAGCCATACACCGTCCCAGGCCCTCCTGGACACAACTCAACTTCCGTGCCTTCTGCCAGGATGCCCGAACCTCTGTATAGCGCTCCGAGTGGAGCCAGTGGTACCAGCAATGCCACCCCCCAATCCAGCGATGAAGGCGAGCGTAACGGCTCCTACGGTACACTGATAGTTAGCAAAGGGGGTCGATCCAAGTACCTCGGCCCGACCGCAGGCAGTGAATGGCTGAAGGAGGTATGTCATATGGCTTCAAAGCTGCAGCGAAAGCTAAAGTCTGCTAGTCGGAAACCCAAGATCCATCAGAAAGTCCATTGATAACCCGGGCCCCTACCCCAGAGCTGCCCCAGGATTCGGCCCCATCTCTGAACAATCATCCCACTTCTCTCACTGCTCCCATCGGCTTTCCTTTCAATGCCTCAGCGGCTCACATCAGTACGCGGGATCTGCTGTCCTGCCTGCCTCCAAGGGAGGAGGCATGGACCCTAGCAGAGGCTTATTACCGCTATTGCGCATGGCAGTGAGTGTGATAGTCGTAAATTAAGTCAACCAACTGACAAGATCCAGCCATGATGTTGCTCCAAAGGCTCTTTTCGAAAAGACATTTGACCGCGTCTATACCCTTGCGGAGGGGGGCTCCTTATCTACTCCTGGAAACCCTCAGGAGATTGCACTCGTTTTCATTATCATGGCACAGGGTACCTTATTTAATATTGAGATGTCCAACTACGATTCATCTGCTGAAGACTGGTTACATCTCTCGGAACGGGCCTTGGTCAAGGGAGACTTCCTATCGAACAACATGGTTGCCGGACTACAAACTCTAGTGAGCTTCTATTTCACTAGTAAGTGGCTGGCCGCTGACATTTAGTAGCATCTGATGGCGCATCTACACCTGTGCGTGGGCAGATATCCCGTTTCTCGCTTCGCTAATCTGTGAGTAGGCAGTTAGACAAAGGTCGACGGGGTGATAATGCTTGGCCACTATGGGGTCTTGTCATGCGTTTGGTCCAAGCGGTAAGTAGTCCACCTGAGCGACGGGCATGCGGCTGACGCGGGTCCATAGATGGGAATGCACCGGGACGGTGCACGCTGGAATCTACCGCACGATGTCGCCGAGGAGAGACGCAAAGTATTCTGGGAGTGTAATGCCGCCGACGTTTTCCAGGCACATTGCTTCTCAAGGCCGTATGTATCTCTCCAAATGCCTGAGGCCAAGGCTAAAACCACCAGATCCGCTATCAATCCAGAGCATTGCGACACTGCATTTCCCAGCGAACCACTCAATCTGAGGGGCGAAAAGAGCTATTCCATTCTCCGCTTTGAGCTGTCTCAGCTGTCTTCCGAGTTCGTATAACCAATTACAATGCTGCTTCTCAATTGACCCAGCTTCAGGATTCTCAACATGACGATGAAGGTGCGGAAACCTGCGTACTCCGATGTCACCAACCTAGATCTCAGGCTGTATGTTTTGCCACATGATGACCCGTCGAGATGGCTGAATTATTGTAGCGGCGAGTTCGAACGCAACCTTCCATTTTCCCTTCGCTGTCGAGCAGCGCTCTTGGCCATGCCTTCTCGGTACCCCCAATTTGAAGCGGCGATTGAAGCATCTCCAGAACCGTCCCGGAGATCGATGACCATTTCCTTCCAGGTCCATCAATCTGTACTATCAACCTTGACTTGAAAGCTGATATTATGTAGCAAACCAACCTCGCGCTGAATATCTCTGAGACCATTATCAACCTTCATCGACCTTATTACGCAAAGGCACTCTACGATGATGGCGAGAGTGTCGAATCCATTTATGCTCCTTCATTTCTGACCGTGATCGAACGCTGTGCAGTAAGGACATCCTCAAATCCTCTTGCGACAACCTTCTGACTTGACAGATCCTTATCGGCATCGTCAGCGACATCCACACCCGTTTCCCCGCCGTCAGTGTCAGGCAGTGGAACTTCTGGGTAAGAGCGTGTATCTTCCATCTCTGACCTGCACGGCTAACGGGGGTTCTAGTATCACGTATTTGGTTCTGCCCTATGCCTGGGAACGATGGTGTTGCGCGACCCGGGTAACGTGATGGCCACCTTTGCCCTCGAGCAAATTGACACCGCTATCAGCTTATTCACCTCGTTAATTCAATATGGTGCCAGCACTCCCCGGTATAAGCGTAATTTGCAGTGGCTCTTGAAGCTCCGCGCTCGAGCATTGTCCAAGATCTCTGTGGCAGGCAACGGCAAGAAGGCCGACCCACAACGCGATCCTGATACAGATCGGAGCAGCAACGGCGGTGACAGGGAGCACGGTGAAGATGTTGAATTGCTCGGCTGGCGGACCAGGCTCATAGAGCGGGCGGGTCAGGACCGTCCAAAGATTATTAGGACTATTCACCTTGCGGCGACCCCAACAGATTCTCAAATCACAGAGAACGCGAATCCGCCACCGTGCCAAAATCAATTCGACGGTCCCCAGGTTCAGCTGAGACCAAATGATATGATGATGCCCGGCGCATCGTTCCCCATGGCGACTCCTGATTCGACAGACGACATTGTGAGATTTACACATGAACACCTGATAGACAAGACTAACTTGCTTCCAGCTACGCCAATTCTGGGATCCCATGCTCCTCCAGAATGTTTTCGAGTCCCCGTACGACCAGCCAAACGTGAGTAACGTGTTCCGTCTTTCTTTCGGCTTCGGCGGCTAATGAGCCGTCCAGCCTTTTATTGACAGCAGTACCGCATGGTGGGATGACACTGCAATCGTCCTGGGTGACAACCAAGCGCGGCTTTGAGCGGCACTTGAACATGAATGTAAATGTGAAGGGGATGAAAAATAATTCTACTTGTTGAATTAACCCCTCATGGAGCATTTATGTCTGCAGACGGCCCCAATGTACACAGACGAACACAGAGTCCAAAACCATCTATCATCAAAAGTCGTACCAACACACATCTCAATGACCATTAACTTTTGGAGTTTCCATGATAGGTAGCCCGTCGCCATCAAAGTAGACAGGCACCCGGTTGCGGAACGAGTACTGTAGAGCGGTGGCAATTTTGGCCGCCTCATAGGCATCGTCCGGAGTGCAAGTCAGGGGCTGATCATCGAGAACAGCAGTGGCGAATTCGGCCAGGTCATTGAGGAAGGACTTGTCGTAGAGAACAAATGCATCAGGGGTAGTAGCCGTTCGTACACCGTACGAGTCACGAATCTCAACACGGTTGATCGCGGAGTTGCCGTTGATGACAGAATGGCCTTTGGTACCACACACGCGGGTGCAGCCCTCGAAGCCGTTGGTGAGAGTGCGGCCTAAGTGGGTGGTGAGAACTTTGCCGTTGGCAAATTCAACCATACCCCATCCGTTGTCACAGTCGCCGTACTTGGCAAGATCGCCATAGACAGCCTGCTGGCCCATGGCAATGACTCTGTTGACTTGCTTCTTTGGGTTGGTCAGGCCCGACTTAACATCCAGGTAGTATCGACCAATATCAATCTGGGTGTTGGGTCAGCAAGACTATTTAGATACTAGACGAGGAATTGTTTACGTCGTGGACTCCCATGTCAACAAAGATACCTCCGGACTGCGCAGAGAAGGTGACGAAAAATCCTAAATAGACGTGCTTAGCCAGGCTGTCCAAAGATGAAATGTAAGAGGGATTGCTTACCAGTAGGGTCCTGCTGGTCGAGGCAGGTAGTCTCGACAGCGTGGATCTCGCCCAGCGAGCCACTCTTGACCGCCTCCTTGGCAGCACGATACGAGTCGTCGTCTACATACATGTCAGCGCCGTCATACTTGAGATACAGAGATCGATTTCACTCACATCGTCGACAGAAGGGAACTAGGAACTTGAGATGAGGCTTCGACTTAGCCTTAGCAAGGACCTCTTCGGTAGTGATGACATCCACCGAGATGGGCTTCTCGCACATGACGTGCTAGGCAAAATGTTAGCTTCAGAGGCTCCATAACATCGTTAGAGCCGCCGGTTGGCAGGACTCACCAACCCCAGGTCAAGAGCCATGCAGATCAGGGGAGCGTGCGTCGCCGTCGCCGTCGAAATGAGAACGGCATCGGCACCGCTGTTCCTCATGCAATCGTTGGGATCCGCAAAATATTTGACGGAAGGTGGAAGATTAGCCGCCGCCCACTCGTCGCTCCCGGCTTTGGTGTCGCAAGCGGCGACAAGCTCAATGCGAGGCTGCTGGAAAGCGAGAATGCGTGCACGGATTGCACCCAGACGGCCGAGACCGATGAGGGCAATCTTGAGACGACGTGGAGTAACCATCTTGCTGTATGTATGATTATGGCGAAATTGTGACTATAGTGGTGAGCAATTGAACTAGGAGATCGAAGGTGGGATGACCAGCTTCGAAGGTCTTTTACTATCCCACCTCAAGGTTTTCTACAATCAACACGCGCTCAACACGCCACAGACCGGGACTCTGGGGTGCCAGTCCCCGGCCCGGTGTCTAGGGCATTTCGTTAGCTCTTACTTCCGTTGAGCGGCGCGGTCTCCAGGCCAGGTAGCCTTGTCGACGCACTACCGGAGATTTCGTACTCCTTTTGGTGATGCACCGGACATTTTCTGCGCAGGATTTTTTTTATGTCCGACTATGATATGTCCAACTATGATATGTCCGATGATAGACTCGGCTATGAGTATCCCGCCAATGGTATCCTGCTCTTCAAACAAGCCAGTCTGAGACTAGCTCCAATCTTTGCCATCCGGCAGATGGACTCTCACCCTGCTACAAACAGGGCGAAAGATGCCATCGTTAGGCAATCTACGGCAGGCAGGAAGCTGCTCAGGTTAGGCGATTTTCGCCTGCCACCTATTACACCGATTTATAAAGGTAGATCATGTCACATTCCAGGATTTGCTTTGGAGAGTCCGAACATCAACTTTGCAGGTACCTACTGTGCGGATACTGCCTTGATCGCTAGATACATCGTCTTTCGTTGCCGCCATAATGTTGTCTGCTGGGAGAGCACCAGCAGAGACATCTTCTCTCTTACGCTTCAGAACAGCCCTACATACTGATCTCGTCGGTGACTTAATGCCCAAACCGAGTCAGCCGCCCAAAGTCGAGACGATTTTTGTAGTCGGTGGTCCGGCAGGCTGTGGGAAGACCACTGTTGCTTCGTACCTATCCCGAGAACTCGGCATTCCATATCTTGAGGGAGATGACGTACGTGCTGTTCCTCTGTCTCTGATCAAACTAGGACTTCTGTTGACATGCACAGTACCACACTCCGGCCAACAAATTCAAGATGGGCAACTCAATACCGCTGAACGATGGTGATCGATGGGACTGGCTTATTACCCTCCGCAACGCAGCCACCAAAGAGCTGCAAAGATGCAATGCCATCCTTGTTACCTGCTCGTTTCTGAAACGCAAATACCGGGACGTCTTTCGGGTAGCCTCGTACAATCATCCGACAGTAAAATTGCACTTCATCTACCTCAAGGCTGATGAGGAAAATCTACAAGCAAGGGTCAGGACACGTGTGGGCCATTACATGAAGGAGAGTATGGTACGCAGCCAGCTGGAAAGCCTTGAAGAGCCTGGGGAGGACGAATTCGATGTTATCAAGTTCGACGTGCAGCGAGATCGGGAAGTCATCTGCAATGACGTCCTGGCTACGGTTCGGGCAAAATTAGAGGAGTGTACAACACCGACGATCAATGGTCATGGCACCTGTTAAGGTGGAGACGGTCAGCAAGCGCGCTTTGTTCTGGTTCATCTATTCCATTTTCTATGATTTTCTATATAATATAGTGGCGAAGACGGTCAATGTAAACCATGCCATCCTTGAACACCGTCTCGTTGGGCTGTAGCAACAGAAACTCCTAAATGACCGCAACACTCCCCCCATTGGCGCTGACCTTGCTCCCCGTGATCCATCTACCATCTCTGCTGCACAAGAATCCCACCACATCTGCCACATCGTCGGGCTGCCCTAACCGCGGTATTTTTTGTTTGCCTACCCAAAAATCTTGCAACTCCTCCCACACCTTTGGTCCATATTGCTGCACTCCTCCCGTCTCCGTCAGGCCCGTGAGCACGCTGTTGGCGGTGGTTCCAGCCATAAATTCAAACGCAGGATTCTTTCCGCCGAACGCGTTGGCATAACAGCGAGTCATTGCTTCGTTGGCAGCTTTCGTCGAGGCGTAGATGGTAACTGCAGGCTCGCAGTTGACGCTCTCGGCGCTACTGATGAAGACGATTCTGCTTTCCTTCCTGAAATACCGTCTCTTCACTAACTCGTCCACGATCATCGCCGGCGTCCGGATATTGCATAATAGTAGTTTGTCCAATGTTTCTGCCTCAAGCTCGCCAGGAAATGTGCGGTCGGTTATCGCGGCATTGTTGATGAAGATATCTGCGTGGCTGTCGAATTCTTTCTGAATTGCATTTGCGATCTTGCTGTGTGCGTCCAGGTACGTTAAGGAAGCGACTTGATGAACCACTTTCGGAGGCTGGTTCCCGCACTGTGCGCACTGGGACCTCACCTCTTCCCGCAGCTCGTCAACGTGCTTGCTAGCGCCTGTAGATGTAACCAGAATGCCGGCACCTCGCTTCGCAAGGTGAAGTGCAATCGCATACCCGATCCCTCTGGTCGCTCCGGTGACAATTGCTACTTTTCCTACGAGATCTTGCTCGCGGCAATGAGATTTCGAAGTTTGCTTCTCAGGCATTTCGGAAATATTGCTAGGATGAAACAGTAGCTTACCGGGTACTAGGACTCGGACCCAGAGGATATTAGTTTGTCTCTGAACTCTATATTGAATGAACGAGGAGCCTTCCAAGACACAAAAGTCTCGGCGAACTCATTCCTCTAATGGCTGGCTACCCGATAAGGAAACGTTTCTTAGTGCGATTGTTTTATGTCCGACCGGCCATAATGCATAGGCCGGGGCAAGCGTGCAGCGGGTATCGGCAAATCTTGAGTATTGGTCAGTGTATCCGCAACCACAGTCGGCCGACATGATACTGGGAGGGTTATAGTACTCCTTGAAGGAAGGGTGTACAGTATGTTCCGCGAGTCAGTGAGAAAAAGAGAACATTTTGAAAGGCCCTAGCCTCGCATGCACGTCGGGCTGGTTTCTTCCGCACTACGTAGACTAATGTACCCACTTGTAGATCGGCATCCGTAAATCTCTTCTCACTGGCCCAAGTGGTGGCTCGTTCGGTGACGAACTGTAGATCAGTCTGTAGGTCATTGTAGAGCATTCTGTGATCTCCGACCACTGGCGGTCGGATATCGAAAGAAGTCTCAGGATGCCTTCCGTAGTTAGCTTAGAAGGGGGATATCCCTGTCGGATTCTTATGGTTGTTGAAGACGAGCTGTGCCCATGGCAACAATGATGCCTAATCGTTCTACCAGGAAATGCTAGATTATTTAGCCGATAAGGAGCTTATCTATCAAACTACCTATTCGAAAGACAGGATGTTATTTTACGGATTACCTAAGCTATATACTCAGCTCCTGGCCTTCAGACGTCCGATCTTATAGACTAGTAGGAACGGACGAAAATTTATCTATACAGGCCCTAACATTATAGTAGCTGGATGGTAGCGTTAGGGTCCCGTTTCCTTCTCTTAATTTACTTTTTACTTCATTTAGACCTTTATCTTCTACTAATATACCCTCTAGAACCTTCTAGGATCTTAAGAATAAAGTAGGAAGGCATTAGGAATAGAAAAGAGTTACTACTTATCTAATCTATTAGTAATGCTATAAACGATTTACGGTAAATCGTTTAAAAGGTCTAATATTAGAGCTACTTCCTATATAGCCTAACGGAGTTAGACTTCCTCAGTTATAGTTCCTTTATTATATAAGCTAGGTCGAGAGGACGTAAGGTATAAATAGTAGTATAACTTTAGAATAGTTATTACGAATAGGCCTTTAGGGAGACCACCGCGGGTATAAGAAGGGGAGGTCGACCGAGGTCATGACGTAAGGACATTACGTAAGTAGATCTATTATACTCTATCCTACTCTTAGGATATAATAGAGCGTAAGAGAGCTATACTAGAATATAACGCCTATATAGTTTCTAAACTTTCTATAGTTCTCTCTCGTAGTTAACTTCGTTTATAAATAATCGAGTTCCTCTCGGTTAAGTGCTTTACGTATGGTTCTATATACTATACTCTTAGTTTTCGTCTCTACTATACCGTTCTACTACTATATCACTAAGTAAACCACCTCGGGTTTACTACTGACACCTCACGTGTAAAGTATCAGACCAGTTAGCTAACTGGAGGGTGAATGTATGTACTATAGGATCAATAATGATAGATAACTAGCCTATAGATAGAGATGTTAACGCTTAAAGAGGCTTTAAGGTTGATAGGTACGACCCCTCTTACTATATATATGCGGTAAGCCAGCTACTTGGCTGGCGGCCTAACTCCTTAGTCAGTGGCCTAAGCCGAGTGTCTAATGTCACGTGGGTGTTCGTGACATCAAGCATCTCGTAATAATAGTCTAGTAAAGTAAATATTATAAATCAACTACGAGAGAGTATAACTATAAAAGGGTAATAAGCGTAGCTATATACTTATATGTCTATCCCGAATAGGTAACTAGAAATAGTACATTAATATATTAATATACCCTATACTAATGTATCACTATATCGTATTTCCTCTTTCGTAAGTTACGTTCTATACGTAACTTCTCTACCTTATCCCTTACGTACTACCTACTCGGCAGTCCTCCCCTTAGACACCCTACCCGAGGGCCGCATATCAGGCTGTTTATAACAAACGGTTATATTATTATTAAAAGCTATTTATACTATAAGTAGTAGCTATACTTAGTTATTCTATTTATAGTTAATATAGTATCGTAGGTATTATTCAAGCGTTTAATTTATTCTTTCTATCTATCCATCTATCTATAGATAATATTTTGTTAATAGCTTAAGCTTTATTCCTAGTTAATCGTTTAATAATTACTAAAGGAACTTAATTATTAATGAATAAAGTTAACTATGAGGACATCTCCCTAGAGTTATCCTTCCTATATATATCTATAAGTTTTACTCTACTTAGTACCGCTTAGTAGTACTCTTTACTAAGCGTACTAATTATAACTAAGCGCCTCTTCTCTATCTTAGTTATTCTACTTAGTACTAATTGGTAGTGCTCGGTACTAAGTATACTAATTACGACTAAGCGCCTCTTTTCTATTTTAGGGTGTAGCCCCCCTCTCTCTTTAACTAGTTTAGTTTAGTTCCTTCTTCTGGAGGCTGGTGTGAACCTTGACTAAGGTTCTTTTAGTAGTTGGTAATACTATCCCGGATGGAGAATCCCTCACATTTTCATTCCTCCAGCGGCCCTTGTTTGGTAGCTTCGGCTGAGCTTACCCGCTCTAGCTAATATTAAAGGATGGATGGCTTCTCAGGTACTCTGGCCCTGTGGAATGCATCATCCTATTTCTCCAGTGGCTACCTAGTAGAGGCTCTGGGCCAAAAGGTTATCTACTATTTCTGGCGCTATAAACGAGGGATCTGTTCTTCTACCGAGGACCTCATTTTACTCTGTCAGGCATTGCGATAGACTGCTCAACATGGCTCAGACAATCCAACGGCCAGACAATGCGTCTACTGGCTACACAGAGAATCCTATCATATATGATTACCCTCCTGAGACTATCGCTGACTGTGAGTCCTCTTGGTCCGGTTTTCTCAACATCAGAGCCATTGATAAATTTCCAGTGGATTGGGCAGATCTTATTGCTCTGGATCTCTCCCTCTTTGATAGACCTGGAGGAAAACAAAAGCTCGCTGCGCAGCTGAAGGATGCTGTAAACAATACAGGTAGAGAACCCATATGCATCCAAGCTAGATCTGGAATTTGGCTCACATGAATACAGGTTTTTTTTATATTACCAATTTTGGACTAACTCAGGATGAGATCGATCGCCAATTCGCATTCGCTCGAGATTTGTTCAACTTACCCTTGGCCGAAAAACTCAGCTACGAAGCCGACCTTAGCAAAGATGGATATGTTGGCTACAGGTCGGCAGGCAATCGCGAGCTTGTGCCGGGAGTTTTCGACAATATAGAGGTGTACGGGTTCGCAAAGTTTTATTCTCAGTTCGGCCAACGACCGCATCCGGCTTTAATCCAGCAAAACATCGGTGAAATCGAACGATTCTCCCGTCATATGCACGAATACATCGGGTACAGGCTACTACGTTTGATTGCGATTGTTCTAGAGCTTCCCGAGGACTACTTCGTGTCTAAACATCGCTATGATCAGAAAAGCGGCTGCAACCTCAGGTACCTAAAAAATAATGCAAGAACGGTGGAGGAGATCAAAAAGCTTGGAAACACCCCTCCCGTGCGTGGCCACACAGACTTTGGGAGCCTAACCATGTTATTTCGGCAGCCAGTGGCGGGGCTACAGGTGAAAACCCCCGAAGGAAAATGGAAATATGTCAAGGCACATCCAGCAAGCATCACCGTCAATATCGCCGACATGATGGACTTCGTCTCTAACGGCTACCTTAAGAGCAGCGTACACCGCGTGGTGTCTCCCCCTCCTGACCAGGTTGCACTGGACAGGATAGGAGTTATCTATTTCCTACGATTTGAAGACGACGTCGAGTTGAAGCCGGTGGACAGTGTCCTCTTGAAGAACTGGAGCTCAAGTTCAAGACTGGGAGAAGCAAATGGGGTCACGGCTGGGGAGTGGGTGAAAGCCAGAACAAGGGACAACGCAAAAATGGCTGCGATTTACCTCAATGAAGAACCCGAGGTGGTCAAGAGCATCAAGATCCATAACTTTGTGTGAATCATATAAGGGAATTGTTCTCATGTAGTAAACTTCTGGTAGTATTTTAGATATGACTCTCTTTTTCCCCTCCTTCGCGCGGATTCTGCCTAAAACACCGGTACCTATCCATGAAAAGTGCTATGCAAAAGGGAGCTTCCCACGCTCGAGCGCAGCAATTTGCATTTACATCCGACTTCGGCATGCCATGACATTGAGAAACTAAGGTGCGAGGCAGATAAGAGAAGAGATATCATACTAGTCTCCTTATATTATCAACTAAAATGGAAGATGGTTTGATCAGATATGAAGTTGATTGACAAACAATCTCCGGTAATAACACCACGCGTCCTGGATGGGAGACTTGGCTGCTGCCCGTGGTACCGGCGAATACGTAGGCAAGCAGGTTGGTCAAGCTCTATGCCGAGGGACGTCGGTAAGCATCAGTACAGAAGGTGATTTGGCCTGACATGACAGGCCCGGAACCAACACCAAAAAGAAACCCCCAAATTACTTTCCATGGATAATTCTACTCAAGGATTGAGGAACGAGCCATGTTCTATAGAACGGGCATTCTCCGGGGCCTTTCACCATGCTGAAGGAGACTTCTTAAGCAGCCATTCTTAGGATTGACCCGTTTCGAGTTGCTTCTTATCAATGGCAATTTCCTTGCGATGATAGACCTTTCGCGAGACATGGCCCGTGAGGTACTGGTCCATGTCGGCAAGGAAGACTGCAGCAAGCACTGCAACCAGTCCTATGGCCAAGGCTGCGTAGTAGACGTATGCGTACGCCGCGGCTTGAGCATACGCGGTGGCAGATGTGACGGCTGCAAGGATAGCATTATTCATCCCCTTCACACTCTGCAAGGCTTCTGCTGTTCCCGCCCCCAAGGCTGTTAAGAGGGCTGGAATAGAACTCGCCGGAAGGCCAGCGTTCTGCGCTGCCGGTATGACGTATTCTGGAATTTTCTGAGCAGCCTTGTTACTCAGGATGGCGATATAGATAGCCGTGAAGATAGATCCAGCGACATTTCGAGCAGCGCATACTACGGCTAAGTGACACGTTAGTCTTATTTCACAGTTTCAAGGGTAATAGTTGGCCTCCACATACCGAATCCGACGCCTAGATCTTCGTCTGGTACAATGTATTGGACCATTAATGTGGAGGCTAACTCGAGCCATCCAGTAGTAATGGGAGTAAGAATCATCAAGGCAATAGCAGTTTTCAGATTGTCAGGTTTGAGGACCGAGACCGCACCGCTGAAAGCGGCCATCCAGCAGGCTCCGAAGAGTACTTTCCATTTTACTTTTCCATGCCAGGTGGTGATCGGGGATAGTATGACGATGCCGACAAAGTTGCTGAGACTGATGATATTCGCTAGCCAGCCAGATTCTTGCCAGGTCAAGTCTGCTCCGTATATAGTATTGACTTCAGAAGGCCAGACGATGTTAAGAGCGGTATACGAGGTGCCCGAGGTGGCCGACAGGATGGCACAGCAGGTAAAACCCCTGAGGTCCTTGAAGAGGCGTAAAGGTATGATCGGATATTCAACCTTTGAAAACATCTCCCACAAAATGAAGAGGACAATCCCCACAAATCCGGAAATGAGGAGGCCCAAGATGGTCGGTGATTGCCATGGTAGAGGCTGGCCACCCCACGCAACTCCAAGAAGGAAGAGGCAAAGGCCAGCGATGAGAAGGAAAAGCCCCAAAAAGTCGATATGTTTGATCTCATCTCTGCGTTTGCGCTCGGAGCTGTGCAACATCGTGAACGTTGGAGGACGGTAGAAGAAAAAGAAGCAAGAAATGGATAGACCTTTGACCAAAGAAGTCAGCATCTCTGTTCGCCAAATGAAGGATTCCCATCAACGTGCTTACCATTTATAATGATTCCAATGTAGTAGATCCACCTCCAGGATTTTGTACGAAGCAGTCGAACAGAAAGGTACGCGGAGAAGTCGAGCGGAAGAGCAAAGGCATTCATGATCATCACCACCCAGAATTTGAACTTGTTTGGGACGATTTCGCCAAGTAGGAGGGGATAGGCCGCGGCGACACCCGAGCCTAGTCCGAGCAGAACGTTGGCGCCGATGAGCTGATTCATGTTGTGTGCCGTGGCCGCTACAATTCCTCCGAGCACGCTCAACAAGTTTGCTCCGAGAACGAAATAGCGCCGGCCAAAGCGATCAGAGAGACGGCCGAAAAGAAGGAGGCTGATAGGCTGGCAGAGGCTCCATACGATCGAGAAAAGACTGGCATTTCCGGTCCCTCCAATATCGGCAGCAATGTCAGCCAGCACAGCTGCTGGACCGATGAACATCCAATAGCTACCGCAGACAAAAGATGCAACAGAAATGACAGTCCCTACTATGGGAGGGCTGAAGAAGTATTGGGCTCCCAGCTCCGCGAGATCTGCCGAAAGTGCAACAGAGCGTTGATGGTCGATGGCCTTCTGCTCCTTCTCTGTGATATGGTGATCGCCATGGTGCTCGAATTCCGACTGTTGGGCATACGGCTTAACGTCGTATTGGACAATTTCTTCCTGGGGTTTGGTTTCAGCCATCGTTCTTGTGCCTTCACTTGAGACCGGCCCATGTATTCATTAATCTTTTCGGAGGAGGGCGGGCACCCCACCGCATTTTATACATGAGCGGAGGTTTGTCTCGGTTAATCACAAGAGAAATATGGCCTAATATGAATGTGCTATGGTCCAGAACCCCTGGAGCCTGGAGGGGTATCCGGGGTAAATGGATCCTGGAGAAGGACGAGGGTTCTGGAACGCAAACCGGCCCGCTTCTCCGGGGTTAATCGTGGATTATCGCGACTTACTCGTTCTTGACCTGAAGAGAAAGTGAGGTCGGACATGGACTGTCGCGGGATCTACCCGTGTCCGTGTTCCACTCTTATCAAATAAGGCGAGTTGAGAAGAGGGGATTGAAAATGAGTCGAAATGCTACGAATTGACCTTCCACGGATGTCGATTCGTAGTGGTCCAATCACCATGACATCCAGAAGGAAACATTGAGGTCTGGCCAACAAACGTCTAGGTTTCATTAAGCTGATCTGGACAGCCGTTAAGGGAAGTCTTTCAGTGCGGCAGTTCAACTTCCCTGTGGGTATTGGTATTGTTTCGCGGGAGAAGGGACCAGTTGCTCCCGTTCGAAGACACACGGCCCATGAATCCGGCACTTGAGCTGAAGGGGCAGAACTAGCGGGATGTGTTCAATTAACGGCAATCCCTTGCCGAATCAATGCCAAGTCCATGTTGATATAATGTTCGATTCACAAAGTCGAGAAAAACTTGACGGACGACTGCAAGTCATAGTCAATAAGACCTAACATCACCTTTTTGGTCCAAAATATTTGCGTTCTAGTAAGTCCTGAGCTCATCAGTCAAAATGGAGAAGTCGGAGATTTCAGAGCACCTCCAGGGGAGTCGCGGCATCGTGGATGGGAACTTGTATGCCACCATGAACGGTGTAAACTCGTTGTCCATCGAAAAAACAAATCACAGCATCTCCCGCGGCCACATCAAGGTTATTGTTGTGGGAGCTGGCGTGGCTGGCATTACTCAAGCCGCGACTCTTCTAGATGACAAGACTATCACCACGAAAGAAATGGTGGTTTTCGACGTCCTAGATGGGTTCGGGGGAGTCTGGGAGAAGAATCGATATCCTGGATGTGCATGTGACGTTCCTGCTTTGATGTATTCCAGTCGAATGATGATTAATACTGGTAAGTACCTCTCCTTACATATCCGAAGACCCTTGTTATTGCGGGTCGTTGTCCCTAATGCCAACCGCAACAGAATACACACATACGTATGCCACACGCGACCAGATCCAGACCTTTTACGAAAGGATGGCACGCCATTACGGAGTCGACCGGTGTACCCAGTTCAGGACTTTTGTCAACAGCTGTCGATGGGACGATCAAAGTTTTGTCTGGCATGTGCAGACAGAAAACCAAAATTCTGGTAACCTCGAGCACTGGACTGCCGACGTTGTCATCCATGCCATTGGTAATCTAGATCGCCCTAAGTTCGGTGGCATTCCAGGTCTCGAAGACTACCAAGGTCTATACTGGCATACGTCGGCTTGGAACAGCGACGTCGATCTAACTAATAAGCGAGTGGCTGTAGTCGGCTGCGGTCCAAGTTCGGCTCAAATCATTCCTGAGATCGTGGATAAGGTGGAACATTTGACGGTATATATGCGTACGCCGCCTATGGTCTTACCGAGAGAAGACTTCAAACATTCAGAGTAAGTCCCCTACAAAGATTCTTGCTTTTTTTCAATCCTACAATCATAGCTAACTCTTCCAGCACATTTATGTGGTGTATGAGACATTTGCCTTTGTTTGCTATCGCTGTTCGCTTCATAGAGATCATGAAAGGATACATCTTTGGCCAACTGCTCGTCACCGAAGGCAGTTGGTTGAACGAATCTTTCACGAAGAAGGGCCATGACTTCCTTGAGCAGCAAGTCAAAGAGCCTGAGCTACGGGATATCTTGCGGCCAGATTTCAAATGTGCGTATTCTACTCCGTACGTCGACGGGTGCTGTATCAAGGCTAACGATGCTGAGTGCAGTTCTATGCAAACGACCGTTGTTCTTGAACACTTTCTATCCATCCCTTATGAAATCAAACTGCACCTTGGCGAAAGAAAAGATCGTCCGTTATACTAAAACGGGGATCATCTCATTAGACAGGATCACTAACGAAGAAAATAAGCGAGATTTCGATGTTATTATCATCGGAACGGGCTTCAATGCAGCTCAATTCCTTGAACACGAAAGGGTGACCGGTAGAAATGGCATTGATTTACAGGAACAATGGAAGGAATATCCTTCAAGTATCTACGGCGTGGCCACTTCGAACTTTCCTAACTTCTTCTACTGCAACGGCCCAAATGCCAACACTTTCTCCTCTAACATCCACGACATCAACGAACTCGCCTCTAAGTTCATTTCAATGCTAGTCAGAGAAATCTTTCGACGCAACAAGCTCGGACTAAAG